GGCTGTTTTCACAAACTTGTCCAACTTAGTGTTTGGTAAAAACCTATTACTGGGTAATTGGATGTCTAGAGTAACATAAAGCAATGTTAGTAATTACCTGCTTATCCTTGACAGCATGATCTTAATTTACAAGAAACATCAGCATTCTGATGCTTGAACTTTCTGATTGATGTGGTGCTGCTTACATCTCTTCATTCTATATTTATCTATGACTTTACGTAAGAGGCTCTTGTCATGTGTCCATGTATTACAGTCATGGAAAATAATATTAAATTATATTGGTTTTAGAGAAACATTAGAACTTAAAACTGTAGTGTCCATTGGAAGTATATGCCTTGATCATGGGATGCATGGTGAATGATTGTGAATATGACATTTGAGTCATCAGTCCAATTGTTACTCCACGAGCTCTCAGATATGGTCTGCTATCTTGTTGGTGATTTCATGATTCCATCCCTCTTGCATCCGTTGTTATCTGTGTTCTTCTCCTCAAATGTAAGATATTCTTTCCCCTTTTCCTGAAAAAGATATTGGTGAAACAATCGCTTTCTTAAATAGTCTGTATAATTGCGTTGATCGAGAAATGGCGAGGTCCTTGATGGGATGCTGTTTTAGCTTTCCTGGCCTGAAATGCAATTATTGCAGTGGGAAAAATGTTCTAACTTAGGTCCGTGGATTGCACACCACAAAAATTGTGATCTTTGGAGAGGATTTTGTCTTTGACTTCCTTTGCTCTCATGCATGGGGAACATGTTTTCATTTGCGCTTATTTCTGATATTCGTGCATAGCTGCAAAGAATCTCCCACACCAGAACTTAAATTCAAGCATGGCTTTTAAGTTTTAATCCATTTGAGTTCTAACCTCTAGATTGATGGAGTTGAAATGACCAGTTGCATTTGTCATTTCAGGCTCCCCCTAAAACTGATCTATATGTGCCAATGTGGGTTCTATCTCTATAGCATCACTGCGCTTCTTACATGGGAAACTCGAAGGAAAGATTTCTCGGTAATGATGTCTCATCATATAATCACTGTTTTCCTAATTGGGTACTCGTACATTACAAGGTACTTTTAAACTCATATAGATGTTTTTGTTCTGCTTTGAGCTAGTTAATAGTCATCATATGATCTTAATTTAAAATGCTTCTGTTAATTAATCAGACCTTCTTGTGCACCCTGTGTATTTTACCTATGAGGTAAATATCATTTTGATATTTACTCTTTTGGAGATTTTATTGGGGAAGATGCATGTAATTGTTTAGACTTCCTATTTTCTTCACTCCATATACATCATTTGATCATATGTACAAGGGTTGGGCTAGCATTGATGCTTTTTGGTTTGTCCACATAAGTCAAATGCTTCTGTCAACCAAGGTTCTTTTGAACAAATGTGGAACATGTTTTAATTGGTTTTGTTGAGTTGTGATTGTTTATTTTGATTCGCTGGGCTTTAATAGTCAAAAAGAAACTAAGAAACAAAAGGCCCGGATCTCCCACAAAATCTTTCAAATTTGGGGTAGCATGAAGCCTGAATTTGTGTGGGAAAGCATAAATATGGCGACTGACCCAGAACCACAACTCCTGTTACTTGCCTTCTTGGTTGTACAATTTGCAGTTGTTTCACAGGCCAGAACGTATTCACAAATATGTACCGATATTATTCAACCGGGCTGGAAAATTTTAAGTTGCAAATGCGTGTTATTCATTGCTTTCTTAGTTGGTCAAATTAAAATAGCGGAGATAACACTTCACCTCTCTTAATCTATACTACCAATAGAGGGATAGGAGGGGGGTTTGCAGTCGACTTCAAAAATGTCCATGTTACCATTTAATTCTTCCCAAATAACTACTCATAACTCACTCTTTAACTCTACTCAACTGCCTCTACTCATAAAATATCAATAGCATCCTTCCTTTCTTCCCAAATAATCACTCAACTTTTTTTTTTTAACCCTATTCAACTGCCTGGTTCTCTCTTCACTCGGGTAACTGTGTGTCAAGGTGTCTAGTATACGTAGTGTCTCCTCCTCTGCTCAATAATTTTGATTCTGTGCACTTACACAAATCCTTCGGGGATTATATTGGCAATTGCTAATCGGTGGATATGTTAGAAACAAACATGTCCTTTCTATGACTTTGAACATCTTCTACGTCTCTGGTCAGGGTTTTTATTTTTTTCTTGCTCTCAGACAGTATTTGTTAAGTCATTCTAGGAGTTTAGTATTTTCTATCTCTTGGAAACTTATTTTGGTGTTTAGTTGCAATCCACACCTTTAGCAGTTCAGAATTGTTTTGTTCTGATGTATTTGAATCCTAGTTGGATACTTTAGTAAGTCAGTCAAGACTTGGATGATCTATGCAAATCTTTAGGACTTCTAGTGTTGAAGGTAAGGCTATATGAAGCAATCTATTTTCAAGGGCTTCGTAAGTGGGGCTTCTAGGAAGCAAACTTGTTTGCATCTATGGACATTGTGGGTAGATCTTTACAGAGAAAACTCAGCCAGAAGAATTCTTCTATGGACATTGATCCTCCACGTTTTTTGTTTTGTTAAGATTAGGTTTGAATTGTTGATAAATATTTAAATGAAGTTGTTAAAAAATTTATGGATATCCTGTTGGTAATCAATTTTTCATTTTGCAACAGCTTCTTCCGGATAGGGTCAGTTATTCTTGCACTGCATGATGCAAGTGATGTATTTCTTGAAGCAGCTAAGGTTTTCAAATATTCTGAGAAGGAGCTTGGGGCAAGCATATTCTTTGGATTGTTTGCTTTATCATGGCTTATACTGAGGTTGATATTCTTTCCATTTTGGATCATAAAATCCTCAAGGTTGGTCCTCCGAATAATATTTTATTTTACCAACCATTACTATAGATTATTTCCTTTCCCATATTTATTGATGCAGTTTGCATTTCTCAGCTATCATCTCTGTCAGTTCTTGAGGCTCTCGGAGGTTTATCATATGTCATTATACTATATTTTCAATACGATGTTATTGACTCTACTTGTGTTCCACATATACTGGTGGATTCTCATATACTCAATGATCATGAGACAGCTGAACAACAGAGGGAAAGTTGGAGAAGATATCCGATCTGGTAAGCATCTTTTGTGCCGTATCTATATTTCCATTCTCAGGCAAAATCAGTGCCTCTTCACGATATTATGCCGAGATTCTTGAAACGATGTGTGTGTTCTTGCTCACATGCTTGTGCGCATGTGCATGTTCATCTGAAAAAGGAGGCTGTTTCTTTTCCCTTCAAAAATAGAAAAGGAAAAGATACCACGTAAAAACAAAAAGAAATCTCAACAGTGTGCTCCTTAAGCATTTAAGTTAATTCGTTATCCCAGTCAAATATTCAATTGCATTCAATGGGACATGGAATGCGATGGGAGTTGCATTTTTTTTTGAGGATCTACTTTCCGGAGCGTAAGGACGCCATATTCCCTCATTATTGATTCATAACATGTGTTCTTCGGTGATTGCAACACAAAAAACAACATAGGGGTCGCTTGGACCATATCTGACAATGGGTATACGGTACACGAAAAATGTGGGTACTGAACCGAAATTCTTCTGAAATCGTAGATTTTGTTTTGATTGATTTGTAGCTATTGTTTGAATTTCACGGGTCACGATGGATGAAAAGTGGAGGTAAGTTATCATAACTAGATCCTTAACAATGAGTTTAATAATAGTATGATGCTAGGAAGCACAAACACTTCATTTTGGTCAAAACAGGCTAAAATGAGTGTCCTAATTTTTTTATTACTATTAATTTTTTCGGACACGTTTTGGATATGTGACTAACACACTTGGAATACGCGGCTCACACATTGGGGACATGTTTGGAGACACGTTTTGATTTTTTTTTCCCTTCAAATTTTTGAAAACTTATCAACAAATTTTAAAATAAGGAAGTTAATTTTGTAATTTCAAAGATATATTTGTGAAATATATAATATAAAAACAATTATAATCACTACACGAAGATAGGACACCGATATAAGCATAATTTTGTGTACGATTATAAAATTATATACAAAATGGGGCACACCTTTTGTATGAAAGTAATATGATTAAAAATAGAGTTATGAAATGGGGGTTCTTTTAAATTAAATGAAAATTAAGGTTATGAAGTGAGATACTTTTTATTATTGAGATTGTAATAGTCATTGATTGTTAGATCATGGATGTTGTATGCTTCAACCTGATATTTGATTCTTTATTCGATGATTTCGTGGTGTTAAATGTTAGAATTATAAAAAGGATGAATTAAATAATTATTATTAATATATATTTATTTCATCATATGATCATATATATATAAAAAATCAATATTTAATATTTAACGTGCCTTCCAACGTATCCCTTTTTTATTTTTTTGAAAAATTTCGTATCAGCTTGTTTGTGTTGTATCATATTCGTGTTCATGCTTCTTAGCTATGGTGTAATAATAATTCTGTTAATGATACAAGTGACTTTATTCTTCATTCTTTGTCCCTTATTTCCTTTTCATTTTTGTTAACTTTGTAACCGCTACTGACTTTCTCTCTACCCAAACACAGATTCAGAGGACAATGACTAGTTGGAAGAGATTCTTCAAATATTTGTGATTCTCTTCATTTTAAATGTTAACCATGGGAGACTGCTTTGACTTGTTCTTTGTTTGCATCTGAGGGTTCTTTTTTCATTGGAAATATGTTGAAATTTTCTACATTCCTCTGAGCATCAGATATTCCTGAGCATGGGATAGGAAAAAAGGAGGTAAGACCATGTAGTGTTTCACTTCATGAGCATGGGATTTTCATGTGTAATTGTTTTCTTATAGTTCCTGTGTCTTGGAAGTTTTGTCAATTTGATGTGGAGGTTAACCAGAGAGATTGGTTACCATGGAGCAAAGCAGTGAAGATATTTTAGAGATTTACACAAAAATATATGAACTTGGAGTACAAGATTGTTATGAATCCTCCTTTTTTTTCTCTTTGGAGGCCGGGGAGGTGAGAGGAGTAGATTGACCTTTTAGTTCTTTTGATCACCATCTATTCTAAAAGCTTAAGTTGTTAGAGAAAGTGTAACTAAAGTACTTATACATTCACAAGTTGGATGTACGATTACTAATACCTTCTGATTTTGTCCCAGCCTGAGGCTTTTATACTCTGTTTTCAGGGCTTTTATGCCTCTTTCTTCTTCTCATGATATGATTTTCTTTTTATTTTATAGAAAGACAAGAAATGTTGGCTGAAATTCTCTAAAAAACCTTTAGGAGTGTTGGTACTTTGAAATTTGAGTATGTACTGAGTGACCTTTGTTAGTAAGGCCAGGTAAAGGTGCATAGTTACATTCATTAAGCAGCAGTTTATAATGAATAAACATTTTTACTGTCCCTAGCAGTCCATCTGAAGCCGTAGTTTCCTTTGAAGTTGGTTTCGAATCCAGAGCTTGGTGGTCTTTGACTTGTGACCAGATCAATGATTCATGAAAGTTTTCTGCTCCATGGATGATTCAATGTAAGTCTTCTCTTCTATTCAAATAAGTTTCATTTCTTTTACTAAAAATATTCACTACTAGGAACCAGGGTATTTTTGGTGGTCAAGCACTATAACTAGGAAGCAGGAACTAGGGTTGGATTGGTTATATGTAAGTGGATTCTTCACCACTATGTAGTAGTACCTGATTGAATCAGACAGAATGGGAATAGATTTAGAAGAAGAATATCAATCTGAGTCATGCTCTCTCAAAGCCATGTATATCTCAGATACTTCAAATATTTAGCATGATACTTTTCTTTCAACACGAAACATATCTAATATTACAATCTTCAAATTCATCTTTGTGTTACACTTATTAATTTGAAATCTCCAAATTTCCTAACCATGCCTGAGATCCTACATTCATCCTACAAATTTTCTTTATATCTCATCTTATTAAATATTAAAACTACAAATCTACATTTTAGAAAAATTTGGGTCTCTGAGTCTTTAATTTTTGTAATTCGTACAAATCAACCTTGGTTTGTCTTTTTTAATTAATCATTGATTTAGTGGAATTCTCTCTCTCCCCCTGAAACCCACCTTTCATATACTCCAATAAAATAAAAATTCTATCAGTCCAAGTCTTGGCAGAACAAAGTGTAAAACTCTATAATTCTGCGAACAACCACAAGTAGAACAAATCAAGAAATAAAAAAGGTCTAATTTGTTTAAGGCTTTTGCACGGAGTAATTTCTTTAATATCAAAGGTATAGCGACGCCAAGGGTGAATTTAGCCATAAGATCTTGACGAGGGTTGAACAGAGGAATTCTGCAACAAGTTAGGAGGGAAATCTCTTAATTCGGTCGTACATGGGGCAGAAGGAGGCTGGCCCTGTTGACTTCAGGAAAACAGTTCTCGTGCCGCCCCTTCATTGTATCGCAAGCTGAGCATTTCCGAAGTTGGGCATTTATATTCTGTTCGGTAAGAACAATAAAAAGTAACCAAACAATAAAAAAGTAGGAATGATAGAAAATAGGAAGATTATATTTTTTATCTTTTAAGGAATGAAAGTAGAAATGATATATTTTTCTTCTTTGTGTTTAGTAGGATGGATAAAAAATAAAAATAATTAATTTTTTTTTGTGTTGGTTAAGATTAGGGGTGACAATCGAGTCGTGTCGAATTATTGCGGATATATGTCGAACATTAGTGAAACCTAATTCAACTCATTTAACTAATTATATCGTATCGAGTTGATATGTTTATTTTCGTATCGTGTTCGTGTTCGTATTTGTATTTATGTTGATCAACATAAATTTTGAATAAAAAATTTAACATTAATATTCTATTTTCACTTAATTGAATTTATGCTTATATTTTTTTTACAAAACTAAAAATTAATTTAAATAAATATAAGAATAAGAATAAGTAAAAATATCTTTCTTATGTAATAATTATGTTAGTGCTTAATGAATAGTTACAAATAATTAATATTTTATGTCTATAATACTAGTTAAATATATTAGTTTTGTATTAATTTTGTGTTACCATACAAATGAGAAAATAGAAAACATGTTTATTCTTAAATAAATTGGTTAATGGTGTGAATTTTGAGTTTAACGAGCTGAACTGAATATGAGTTGTTTATCTTGTTTGCACAACAAGTTATTTTCAAGTTCATGTCAAATTAAAATCAAGTTCGTGTCATAAAATTCGTATTGAGTTTGAGTCGTGTCATCGTATTGAGTTAAAAATTTTCACTCCTAGTTAAGATGAAAAAAATATATTTTTTTATTTTAATTTTTATTTAAATATATATATAAATACATATTTATCAATATATTTTTATATGAAATTAATATATACATAATATATGAATATATCAAAAGATATATAGACAAATAAGATACATCTCAAAATAAATAATTAATTTTTTATTAACTTTCTTTCACTTTTCTATCCTTCTTATTTTCTTTTTTTACCAAACATGATATTTTATTCATCCCTTTAACTTTTTATTCTTTTAACTTTCCATCGATTAGAGAGAAAGAGTTTCGAACAAACATGTAATCCTGAAAGCATGAGTTGAAAGCGATTGAAGTTCAAAATTGGCCCGTGGGAAGGGCAGGAAAAAGGAAAAATTTATTTTTTTATCATATTAAACGAAGCATTAATATTCATATAATGCACAGGACCGAATATTAAATGATTAAACCTACTGAATATCCCTAATTGGTCCATTGGATTGGGGGATTTTTTGGCCAATGCTCGGGATCGAGCATTAACCCCTTGTTTGGTACGAAGGAAAATTTTTTATCATATTAAACGAATCATTAATATTCATATAATGCACAGGACCGAATATTAAATGATTAAACCTACTGAATATCCCTAATTGGTCCATTGGATTGGGGGATTTTTGGCCAATGCTCAGGATCGGGCATTAACCCCTTGTTTGGTACGAAGGAAAATTGGATGGATAAAAAATAGAGAATAAAAAGTGGAGAGGATAGAAAGAGTTTCCCTGAGGAAAAGTGAATGGGATGGAAAAATCGGTGGATAGCTGGTCCTTCCCGCCCATCATTTATTTTCCATCCAAAACTGGACAGAAAAGTGGGACAGCTGGTATGAGGTTTGATTAATTACTTTTATGCCCTTCATTAGATACAGCCGGTCAGTTTTCTTATAGCATTCCACATGGGCCACACGGCTAATTTATGTAATAGATAAATACTGTTTATTATTTTGTCTTTGTCCTTTTTTTGACTTTTTGCTATAACAAACAAATTATTTTTTACACAAATTAATCTTTTTATACTTGAATATACTTGTAAACTGTCACAATTTCAATTCAAACTTTACACATTTATGAAGAAATACTTTTAAATACCCTATCAAATATATTATCATTTTATTTAGTAGTTACAAATCATTCAAAGTAAAATTAATTCCTCCAAAATTAATTCGTAACAAAAATAAGGGGATTAAAAGCTTTTTAAAATTAATTGGATTAATTTGTAAAAAAAAAATTACTTAATATATTTAAGGGTAGAATTGTAAATTAGGCATATATGTTTTTCCTTTCCTTTTATATTTTATCCAATACCAAATGATGGAAATATACCCCTTGTATTTTTCATCCCTCCTACCAAACAAAAAGGAGGAAAAATAATTTTTTTTCTTTTATAGATAAAAAGTTTATTCTTTTCACTTTTCCTTTCTTTCTTCTTTCCATCTTTCGTACCAAACGAATCATGAATGACGCCCATTGTCGAGACGTCACATGATTGGTCCCTTGTGACAAAGCGGCTTTCCATTTGAACTTTTCATTCTTAATGTTTTGATTGGTACGATAAAAAATAGGAGAATGAGAAGTTAGAACGATAGATAATAAGAAGGATAGAAAAGAGAATGAATTAATTTTTCTTTTAATTCATTAAAATTAATTTTTCTAAAATTGGAAGAAAAGTAGATGAAAAATTAATTATGTTTGTTAAAATATATATTTTTTTGTTTATATATTATTTGGTATATACATATATCATATTTTTTAATTATATATTATGTATTTATATTTTTTCATTAATACCAAAAACAAAAAAAAAATTAATTATTTCTATTTTTCATCCATCTTTCTGAACACAAAAGAAAAAAAGTATATCATTTATATTTTCCTTCTTTAAAAAATATAAAGTGTATCATTCATATTTTTCATTTCTCTTATTTTCCATCATTCCTACTAACTTGAGCATAAAGAAAAGAAAAATATTTTCTCTTAAATTCTTATTTTTTAAGAAAAATGGAAAAGTGGGACAAATAAATTTTTTTATTATTTTATTTAGAATGAAAAAGAAAAGAGAAAATTTCAATCATATTTTTTCTAGTTTACCATATCTTTCACGATATCCTCTTTATTTTCTGAATCTTCACTGACACCTCTATCAGATTAATAGTGTTAATTAGAATACAATTTTATTAAATTGCTCATAATATATTTTAGGAAACATATCATCTACACTCTCTCTAGAGTGACGTATCTTCAATGAAATTTTCTCTATTTTTAAAATCTTTTTATGTATTAATATTCGGGTAGATTAAAACTTGAATCAAGTTAATTAAAATTTATTTTTTATGTATAAAAATTTGAGTCAATTAAAAATTATATTTTTTTACATATTAAAATTTGAATCGATTAAAATTTATTTTTTTAAAAATTCTATTCGAGTCATTTTTAATCGGTTCGAATCAAATTTTTATCAACTCGCATTGAATTTTAATCTGTTCGAATTTTGATACATAAAAAATATAAATATTAAGCAACTCAAATTTTAATATGTAAAAAATGAATTTTAATCAATTTGAATTGAACTTTAATTGACTTGAATTTTAATAAGAAAAAATATAAATTTAAAGCGACACGAAGCAAATTTTAATTGGCGCTAAAAGCTTAGGTAGAGTTCAAATTGGCTCGAATTTTAATATGTAAAAAAATTAATAGGCTCGAATTGAATACGTAAAAAAATAAAATTTAATCAGTTCAAATCGAATTTTAATCGACTCAAATTTTAATATGTAAAAAACATGAAATTTTAATCAGCGTAAGTTTTAATATGTAAAAAAATAAATTTTAATCAAATCAAATTTTAATTGAATTTTATATAGAAGATTGTTTGGAATTTATGTAGGGGTAATTTTGATATTTTGAATTTTTTTTTTCTTTTTGTTAAAATAGTGGTTTAACGACTGGGGTGTTAGTAATAATGTGAATAACAAATGAGGTATTTTTAAAAATATAATAAACTAGCAGAAATGCAGCTGAAATTTTTCTTAAAAAAATTTAAAAAACAAATAATATGTTAAATAATATTTTTCCTCCTATTTTTTCCATCCATCCATTTTCCTGCCTATCAAATACTTTTTGAAACAAAATTAAAGGTTGGATTTTTTTGCCTTTTATACACCTATTAACTGTTTGGCTTGTATCCATATTTGCCTTA